GTTGCTTATATGACATTTGCATAGACCGGATCACATGGCAAGATTTATCTTCATTTAAAGCACAATTATTTACACATTAAAAGCAGAGATAAAATGACACGGCACTTACGTTTTGTGGCATTGATGAGATTCTTCCCATCTTTATATAGCTCTTTGATAAACCTGCCGGTTTTGTCCAGCTCTGCTTCATGAGCTTTGATTTTATCCCTGAAAGCGGGACTGTCCAGGTAAGACTCACTGAACTCCAACGGGTGCAACCCCATTTTTACTGGACTAGCTAGCGTTTAAATGCCTTTAGAAAGCGACCAGCGAAGGAATAGAAACTGGTCGAATAAAGAAAATTTAAATGGAACGGAAAGCTAAGTTGCCTCGTATATTTTAGTAAGCGCAAACGCGTCGGGAGTTCTCGTGTGAATAAAACTCTTTCCAAGTCGCACGAGTATTGTTAACCTTGTATATTACGTATGTCCCGGGTTTAAACTCTCGCAAAATACGCTACAACAGCTCTACACTACACGGATATCTATTGAAATAAAGTCCAGTCAGGTTTTTGGTCCGCGAATGACAGGCGAGCACCAGACTCCGTCTCCTCCCGCGTGCTGCTTTTTCAGCCAGCACGTCATCACGCTTGGCTCTCTGGAAAGCCGGGGTATTTGAGAGCAGTACTTGGGATATTTGGGGGTCCGCGGGAAGTGTTGTTATGGAAATGTACTTCTCTTCCAGCTGTATAAATCATTCGACATAAGTATTCGATTTTTTTTTGTTTGTTTCTCGATAAACTCCATCCATGAATGCGATAATACTAGAGGGTTGTCAACAGTGTGTTTAAATCTTATGTGGAACTCTAGTATCGATATATCGATACTTAGGATCGATACGCCCATCCCTAGTGCGCACCTGCAGTACAGGACTCAGGAGCAGAGCTGCTCTAAAGAAAATAGCGGATGTTGTTTCCGTCCGCCTGATTCTGCAGTGCGCACCTGCAGTACAGGACTCAGGAGCAGAGCTGCTCTAAAATAGCTTATAAATATAGGGATGAAACAATGTATATACACCATTTTTTAAAGCGCAGTTTGTGGTTTAATGATAGCGACAGGCTGGAATCCACAGGGAAATTAATAAATACGCAGTCCAGCGATCTTAACTAGCAAACCTTAGCTAGGTAACGTTAAATAGAACCATAAATCAACCTTAAAATCTTCAATCCAAAGATTGGAAATTTTACAAACAAATAATGCTGAAATTGTTCAATTAAACAATAAATGATGCATATTAAACAGCAGAATGTGATTAGTCGGGTTTCTTATTTATGTGGAGGAAAACTATGTAATGTTCAGTGGTGTTATTCTGATGTATGAACATTTATGAAACCTTTTATTTCTTATCACCATTTTTTTTATCACATCACGTTTGGTATAGCTACTGCATGCATTTTTTTTTAAACTAAAAGGTTTGATGGATTAAATATGAATAAATAATGCTTAATAAATAGTCATTTCTATATTATATTATCATTATATTAATATAGGCCTACAGCTACTAGATTTGGAGATACTACAGTTGTGCAAAAACAAATATTCATACCCTTGGTAAATATGATCAAAGGAGGCTGTGAAAATAAATCTGC